AAACAATATGTTATAAAAATTAAGATGAAAACTAATAAAATTATTAAGTATAATTATATAAATAAAGTCTATTATAAGTTACAATAATACTTATGAATAAATTAAATATATATAATATATTACTTTATTATATATATATATATATGAAATTAATGATACAACTTATATATCATAATGTTTTATATTAAAGTTTGTATAAATAATAAGTAAACAATATGTTATAAAAACTAAAGTGATAATTAATAAAATTATTAAGTGTAACCATATAAATAAAATTTATTATAAGTTATAGTAATATTTATGTATAAATTATATATATATATAATATTTATACAATTATATATATTTATAACATTTTATATTATGAAGTATTACTGAGGTGTAATAATTATCATATATTAATATGTTAGATATTTATTATCATATATTATAATATTAACATGTAAGCTATATTATTCAAAATATATAACTTGTAATTTCATATTAATATATATATTTATAAATATATATAATTAAAATTAAATTACTATAATTATAATTTGTATATGTACATATAATAAACTAATATTTTAAATATATTATTAATTAAGTTTACAATCAATTCTTCCTAATATATATAAAAAATTAGTTTAGTTTTTTGAGTAGATTGGTTTAAAAATTTTCAAACCGAGAACCAACCAAAAAATTAATTAAATCATATATGTTGGACCAATTGATTGAATGAACCAATTATACTGAATCGTTTTATCCAAATTGTATTTGTTTTGGATGGATAATTGATCTGATTTAATTTTATTCATTTTTAATCAAAATTAATAATGATGTGATATGATGAAATATTTTAAGTGAGAATGATGTGACATGTTATTAGATATAATAATATAATCATGTAATATTTTTCACATTTCATATCAACGTCATTTCAATATTATGTAAATATAAAATGATATTTGATTAATAGTAATTAATTAATCATTAATCATAAAACCTTATTTGATCATTAGTCATAAATTTAAAAATTATTTGGGCATTATACCTTTTTTATATATTCCAGCACATCTATAACTTCTCTATAGTATTCTCTTTTTGTTTCAATTATCAATTTTTTGTTTAATTTCTTTTATCATATAAACTCAACTTTATTCAGTAATTTTTAAAATATTACATAAAATTAATTTTTTTTAAAAAATAAAATTTAATAATTTTAAAAAATAATGATAAAAAATTAAATTCGTTTGAAATAAAAGACGGGACACAAAGAATAACATAATTTAAACTTTAATTTTCGTTTTCTTCGGCTGACACGAAGAGAATTAAGAGCATAACGAAGGATTTGTTCCTAGGGAAATTTGGAGAATGAGAGACAGAAGGTTTGCGAGGGGGAGATAGAGAGGGCGTTGCTGCTTGCTGCTTGCTGCTTGCTGCGCCCTCCATTAGGCAGAGTTACTCAATCTAAGCGAACCCAACAAACATAATTTCCAATTAATCAAAAAATAATTAAAATTAATGATCAAATTAATAGCGACCACAAGCTAGTAGTCCACTGTGCTCCTAGAAGGTTTCAGGTCCAATTATGAACTGTTCTTTGGTATCCCGTCTGATTAGGTCCAGTCTGAGTCTGGGCCACACCTGACCCTGCCAAGACAAATTGCAATCCTTGCTACCAGCTGCCACAACAATAAATGGAACACATACATACTTCAGGGGCAAATTAATATGCTTGAATCCATCCACTGACAAGGACGAGGGAACTGCTCAGTTAATAACAAAGCGATTTGGTCCTAAAATCTAGAGTTGAGACTATTCTTGCATGCCAAAAACAACTGGTAATGCCAGACCACAATGTCCTCCACCGGAAATATCGAAGACCCATGACCATGTCCAAGCGATAGCAAGGTCTCAGCATTTTGCAGGTGCAATTCATGAAGAAATCTTAAGGACCTCTTTCCTACTTTTGCTTCGTGGCATATGGAACAGCATAACTACGTAAAAATTTCTCAAAACAATATGTTATATCATGATAGCAGTATGTATCAGGAAGACTAGATTTTCATCTGTTTTAGCTAATCATTAGACAACAGATGTCAAAGATATGGTTCATTTGAATGCCATAAAGATCCATTACAGACAAGATTTTACATGGGAAAGTATACTTCCCGCTACACAGTAACCACTGATGTAAATGTGATGTACTATAGAACCATCTCATTAGCTCAGAAAATGCATGAGACCCTCCTTTATTGCAAAGACATCTCCTTTACTTTGCACCTGTATGACATAAATCAATAAATGGTAGCACTTCTAGCACTTCTGTTAACAACTTCATTAATGCCTAAATGATTACAAACCTTCTAGGATGAATGGTCGGATTTGGTCAACTGAAGGTGGCTCAACCTGCTGATTTTGTTCAACTTGTTTCAGCGAAGGAGGGTGGTCAGTTTCTAAAGGCTCAAGCTTTGGCTGTGGTTCAATCTGCCCAATAGCCGGTGCCTCAAGCTGCTGGTATTTGGGTTTATTTTTCTCAAGGAGGAAGTAAGTGGTACAATACCAAAACAACAAAATTCTACTTTGAGCAACAATTGAATCTCTGATGTGACTTCCTCCAAAGGAGAGTCGCTCAAGTGCCTGTAATTATTTAAGAAAAGGAGAATCTTAGCATACACTAAAATTAACTTAAACAAAAGTCTCATGAAAATGGTTAACAAGAAAAAGAGAATCTCAGCATAGGCTGCATTTGACTAAAAGTAAAATCTCATGAGAATGCTTAAGCCCATTAATGTCATCTATGTTGGCCCTTCTGATGATTTCCTGTAACTGTCCATACAAAGTGATTTAGTCCTGGTACTAAATGGTAAGTGCACTGTTGAGAAAAGTATTTCAGCACATTAAATTTGAGTAAAGCATGTAGCTTCTTTGCATTCTCTGCAGATCAATCTGTTCTCACCAATCTATGAACTGGGAGGTCTGTTCTAATTAGAATGTTCAGCCATCCTTTAATACAAGTTGCTATAATTAACGAGCCTGACTTCTCATAATTACTTTGCTTTGAGAAACTGAACTATTGTACAAATTTGAGTTCCTTTATGTACACTGGAACAAGGACATTCCAATATGCTATAGTAATATATTAATAACCCAGAAGTTGATTTTCTCTCAGTCTTAAACAGAACATTCCAGTTGATAGTTCTCTGTCCTGTCAAAGCAGGATAGTCTTCTTCATTCAAAGTCAAACAGAGGAAATCATGATCTCTTCATACCTGTTCTCCAGTCTGAATGTCAAACGAATGCTGATGATCAAATTTAAGACCAGAAAATTCATTGATACAAAGCCCTTGAAAAGCCCTGAAAGCAGGTAAAGAAAGATGTGACTTATCATCAGGAAAGGACAAATAACACAGCTCCTGGTTTATCACCAAATAATGCACTACCAGAGCTTAGTATTAATCTACGTACCATCTTATTAGAGAAGCACGGGGAATCCAACGGAAGATAATCGGTGTATTATCTGCATTTACATAATATCCTCCAAAGACGATAAAGACTGTCATAAGAGAGGGTCCCAAGGCCATTGCCGCTTCTGTAGTTGGAACCATGGCCCCAACTGCCAGACCCATTGCAGATGCAGCAAAAGACTCCACAGTCACAATTCCACAGAACTTTCCAAATCTATAAAGTAAAAGTTCTAGGTCAGTGCATTTAATCACTATGAAAGAACTTACAAATCATCTTATGATTGATGCTTAATGTCCTGATTTTTTTCAAAATTTTCAATCTTGACAACTATAAACCACATTTTGTGTTTACAATATAGACATATTAGAGAAAAAGAGGCAGATAATCATATTTAAATTATAGTTTAAATAACTATGCCATTCTTTAGACAAGGCACACTTCGGAACCAACTGGAATTGCTTGCTTTTGTCACAGCTATGGTCTTCATAAGCATTATACTAAAATAACAACAGGAATGACTTCATAGCGAGCGTTTTTGAGAAACTCCAACAAGATCCTTTTCTTTGCTAGTATCAATGAAATAATTGCCATTACTCTACAAAAATTCATGCTTACTAATTCTCATATCTAAGAGCACGACCGCTATCTCCTAAAAAAGCCATG